AAGTATACATTCATCATGTTAACCGTAAAAAATCCTACATAATCCATCGGTCCCGTATCTCTTTTTGTACTTCTAATTGGGGAGGGGTTATACAATGATCTAATATATTGTGCCATTTCCACGTTTTGTTCTCTTTCATAGTATCTCGCGACAGTTTCCATTGGAGAACATTGTGTATTAAGTCTAATGCAAGGAAAACAAGAAGAACACTCAGTCATCTCCCGATAAATCTCATTCACCCTTGCATCATCTACAAGACCATTTTCATCTAGCCAACTTTCCGCCGCAGCTCTGGCTGCCGATCCTTCAGCTGATGTTGCTATAACATCTTCTGCAGCAGCAGATTCGGCAGCAATTTCGGAGGTGGCTTCTACAGTAGCAGCTAAGGTAGTACCAAGCCAATATATTCCAACTGCACATACAGCAAGCAAGACAAGGCCAACGCCTGCATAAATCATATATTTGAGCCAGTTTACTTTAGGCGATGGCGGCGGTGGTGGGATCAATTCTTTTAGATTATCGGGGGTCATTTTAACACTTAGTTCATTAAGGGCATCGTGGTACCCTCGATGGTGACTTTCCCAATGATCGAATAGCTTGTTTGCCGAATTAATCATGTGATATGTGGCAACACCATAACCTTCAGGATTGAACGAGCTGCCGGAACCGAACTCAAGAGATGCTGCGTATGCTCCAACTTCATAACCAGTCAAATAATCGATGCATTCGGCTACGTGTTCTGTTTGATTAATTGGAAAATTGGGTGCATCTGGGTGTTTACCTTCTTTGCAATACTGGGCAGTTAGATCGGTTGGAAATATATGTTCTGGATTAGGTATATTGTGACTATATGTAATTTTAGGGGTCGGAATAAGGTTAAGAGTATAATTACTTAAATTACACTTGTAGTTATTAAGGTTTTTTTCGGTATATGACAAAACCGAAAGATCTGTCCTGTTTAATTTCACCATAAAGCTGAAGCTACAATCATTAGTACATCCCCACATAGTGATGTTTAAAGTTGTTAATGGTGACTCATGTTTTATAGTTTGAACGTCTCTGATCAAACGGGAAGTCGAATAAGTAGTGCCATCATCGTTTATATGGAACGCTGCATATTTAGAAGGTACGACCTGGTCACACATACTAAAATCATGTTCTACGGTGATCCAATCAGCAATAACTGCCGATGAATAATTTATAAGAATGTATAATAAACCTTTCTTCATGAGTGAATTAAATTTTTTCCCTTGACGAAAAATCAGGTAAACCTTATATACTGTAAATTACCCTCGGATAAACCATTTCGGTATCCTAATTCTTTTTTTATTTACTTCTTTTTTTTTCATTCAACATTTAAGAAATAATTTAATTTTAAGGTTTTATAATCGGAATTCTCCATTTGTTTTTTTTTTTATTTTATTCTTTGAACTGTTTTTGCCTTAACTGCAGTCGATCTATGAACAGTCGATCTCTTGTTCGATCCGATCTCGGAATATTTACTTTATTTATTTATATATTTTTAAATCAACAAATTTTTTTTATCATATAGCTCAATATATTGTTAAAGACAAAATAAAATAAAGTAAAAAAAAATGCAGTCAACCATTCATTACATTTCGAACATTAACGTGATCGACGCACATTTTTATTTTGTAAAATTTAAAAAATCCTTTACCGCAGCATCTCGAATTAATATTTTGTTATGAATACGAATAAAGAAAAAAAATCCTCTCTTTAAAAATGTGGATGAAAATCTTCACAAAAAATTTTTAATTATAATATTAATATTCATCTTCATTTTATTAATTTCTTGATTCTGAATTAAAATTTCGTAAAAAATAAATGTTTTTTCTTTTAAAAATTATAACATTAACGATATCTGATATAGGTAAGAATGAAAAGTGAAAATAAAATAACGCAAAAGAAGGAATAAAAACAAGTAGTGTCCTTTGATAATTACTTGATTGGAATCGATTCTATTAAAATCGAATTAATTGAATTGATTTGTTGTGACTGGATGATCTTCGAGGTCTTGTTCAATTTTGGTTGACGCAAATTTTGGTGCATCAAATGCCCCAACAAAAAACTGATGCATGGATGCAAACTTGAAAATCGGATTCTGATTGGCTAATTTTGAGTGCACCAAAAAGAATATCCATCAGAATTGAACATCCCTTCTATAAAAAAAACTATTTTAACCAATCACAATATATCTTAACTTTCGATTTTTCTTTTCATTTTATTTTTTATTGTTTATTTTTTTTTTATTTTTTTTTTAGGATTTTTGATCACATTTAGGCTTAGTGTAGGTTTTTCTTTTTCTTTCTCTTATTTTTTGATTATTATTTATTACTTTATATTTTAAAATTTTAAAGCTCTTTTATTTCATTTTATAATTTTTTATTGTTAAATCAATTGAATGTAGGTTTTTTGGCAAATAAATAAGTTCTTTTTTAAGTTTTTTTTTAGTTTTATTTTATTTCTATTTTATTTTTTGCAGGTTTTTCAACTGCAATAATTTTATTCATTTTCATATTCTTTTATTAAGTTTTTTTTATACTTTAGATTGAAGTAATCTAAAAAAGCAAAAAATAATCATTCAGTTAAAAGATCATATTCACCTTTTTTTTCTTTTTAATTCTTTTAAACAGCAAGAAAGCAAATAGAAAAGGAACTTCTATCTTTACAAATTACTTATATAATTATTTTATTTTAAGCTTTTTATAAATATTTTTAATTTTAATTATAGATAAAAGAAATTATTAATTTTTTTTATTATAATTGAATGAACTAAAAAAATTAAATAAAAGAAACAGTTAAAAAAATCATAAAAATTTTATTGATTAAAATAAATTGCTTATGAAAAGATTTATTATATAAATACATAATTTGTATATTTTATCTAAAGTTTAATTTCAAATATTTTAATTTCAAATGAAGTTAGAATTTAATTGAAATTAAAATAATAACAATGCTTCTAGTATTACCCAGTAAATTTGTTACCTATACATGACCTTAATACTGATTTCTAAAAATAGAAATAAAATGGTAACAAAAAATTTTAAATTAATGAATAATAAAATTTTAGCTATAAATTCTTTTTAACAAATTTAGAAATTTAATGTAATAATTTAGAATTTTACATAATAATTAATACTTTTTAGGTTTATTTAATATAATTATAAAAGAATATTTTTATAACTTTTAAAATTTCTATTATTTTTACCAAAAAAATGTGTTTTAGTTAATAAGCATCGAAATTAAATCCTATCAAAATATTTTACCATATATTTTTATTAAAGACAAAATTGTGAAAGTTTTTATAGGTAACATAAGTTTTGATAGATAGTAAAATCTATTGAAACCTTATAATATTAAAATACAATTTTTGAATTTAAAAATTTATTATTTTTGTTTAATGAAATGAGTAAATCATATATAGCAAAGATCACTTTCTTTATAATATCATATATTTATTTATTTATAAAGGATAAAAAAATCACATATTAATAATTAAGTTTAGTTATACCATTTATCTTCTATTTAAACTTATAACAATATTTTTATCTTCTTCTTTCATTAAGTTTTAATTTGAAAGAATATTGTTTAGAGATTAAAATCAAATTCAAAATTTAGAATATTTGGATTTAAATATAAATTTAATTTTTAAAATTAAATAAATTCTGATATAAAAATAAATCTAGTTCCAATCTCTACCATTATCTTCTTCATAAGGTAATTTTTTCTAATTTTTAAACAAGTACCAATGCTTCCAAATTTAAAATCTACTCGATAAATAATGTATTATTTTGGAAACTTTTTTTTTAATTTAAAATAAAAAGCAAAAAAAAATAATTTTTATATTCAATATTGTAATCAATAAAACTGATTTAAACCGGGTGAATTTTTTGAAAATATTTAAAACCGGTTTTCGGAATTAGAACCGGTTCCAATCTCTAATATATTATTCTTAAAGGCGATGTAAAAAAGAATGTTATAAATAATTCAACCCGCGCATCTAGATCTGGTTTTATATATAGTAAAATTATATTGTTTAGTTAGTCGCTTGATTAATTAAAAATAAGATAACGACATATAGTTTTGATTTACCAATTGACGACGAAATCGATTCTTAAATGCTAATCGGAAACACTGCATAAAATATAAATATCCATCACTGCCCTCCCACTCACAGCAGATTTAACTTTTGAACAAATTAAAAGTGTCAAATATACACTTTATTTCGATTCTTGGTTACGATTTTGAAAGGATGTGTTCTTATCCTTGAAGGATGATTTATTTTGAAAATTTTCTTTATATATAATATATATTTTTCTTAACCGGTATTTCTGGTAAATTTGCCAAAATTTATAAAATAATACTTTACAAGAAAAATTTATGAAATCCTAGTGATGTTTCCTTCCCGCTCATTTTAAAAAATTAAAGTCAAAAAAGCCAAATATAATCCTCTACAAAATTAAAATAAAACTACAGCACTTTGTGAAGAAAAATAAATGATAAATCAAAAGAACAAATAAAATAAAATATTTGAACGCTAATGAACACATTTATATATAAAACACAAATTAAATGTTCGCGTGTTACAAATTGTCTAAATCCCATACAAAAATCTCTGGTCAGCAATTTATGTCTACATATACGAAATATAACCCACTTTAATTTTTTTTTTTAAAAAAAAATATGATTTATTGTTTATGCCAAGCCAATTATTTAACTTTTTTTTTTGACTATTTAGATTTTAAAATGCATTAATTAAACATTAATTTGTTAATGAAATTTATTATAAAATATTATTTTAATAAAAAAAAAAAAAAAAAATTGAGTGAAATTCGTTATTAAAACTAGTAATTCAATACTTGACAAATATAATAAGTAGCAACAAAGAACAAATATTAAAATTAAATCACGAGATATAATAAATGTTAGCGTGATTTAATAAAAATGTTTTGATACGAAAGACAAAAATTTAAAATAGATCAAGGATAAGCGCATAACTTCTCGTAGTCGCACCCAATCTTATCACCAAGAATCTTTTTAAATTTGTTCCACTCACAATATTCCCCACAACCCGGAATATAAAACGGTTTAAAATCAAGTAATATTCGTATATATACGTGATTACCGGAACATTTATAAATTTCGAAATAAATCGTAGAAGACCAGTGTATGATCTTATATTCTGTATATTCGAGGTTTTGAATTTGTTCAAAGGTTAAATTTCCCGTGAGTGGATATTCATTTTTAAATAACCCCTGTAATTATCGTTATCATGAATTAATAAGGTAAATCAACAAAATGAATTAAAACCCGTATGAACATGCACAAATTTACATACGAGAGTAGTAAGTATCATCGTCATAGAAAAACCATGAGCATTTTTTAGATCAGCTATCACGGTAGAATTCCCGTACAAATAACCTTCAACTCCATTAACAAGTTGAGTAATATATCTACAACCTATCTGTAAATTAAGTGGGCTACCATATGATAATCGATAATAAAAGTCCAGATCCCAATAATATCGTGATAATAAAAGTTCTTTAGGACTCAATAAAGAACACCATGCATCGGTTCGATTATAAACAGTGAGCCAGTATTGGCAATTAGTAAACATAAATGGTACTAGAAGTGGATCAAGAGGTGGACTAATATGATAATCTTTGGAAATTCTCTTGGCAATTGGTGCAAGAGTCTTGTTACCATATAAATAGATTTGTTCGTCACGTGATGGATTATTAGTATTAACAGTCTCGTTCCAGCGTTGACAGGAGGTGAACATACTTAATGTATCGTCTTGTTCCTAATACAGGAGGTGTAGTATGTGTAAAGTTATGAACGAAAAAAATCATTATAAATGGCGCAATAAATTTACCCGTGGTAGATTCCAATAATAAATAGGTTGACTTTTACAAGTGTCTAATGGTCCGTAACCATTGAATAATCCTTCACTGAAGGACATCAACGACGCACCGGCTCTTAAATAGGTAAACATACATCATCAATTTTAAGTGTTTTTAGGAAAATGATGAAATGTGGTGTGAAAAACAATACCTTGACGTTTGAGTACTCTGAAATTTTATAACTTCCGGATCATATTCAACTCCATCCCAAAACTTTTTGTACCTTTTACGACATTGTCGACCATCAAAAAAAGGTTCGATTTCCCCTCGTTTGACCAATTGAAAATTTTTCCTCATGGGGAAAGGATTTTTATACTAAGGATTTTGAAATAACAATGATAAATCTTTTGTTAATAACGACAATATTTTATTTGAATTTCCATAATTTAATTGTGAGCTTTTTACCCATTCTTTCGCAACAGAAACATTAGAAAATACTTTTTCCAATTCTTCAAAATTTATAATAGCATTTTGATTTGGATATCTTGATCCTAATAATTTAAGGAAAAAAACCCCCCAGATTATTTTATGCTATGAACTTGGACAGATTGTGCGAAATTTTAAATTACCGTGTCTAGAAATCAAATGTAATTATTTTAATTCACATTTATCAGGATAACTTATGGGTTTGATGTCAAGTGAAAAGGCAGTTTCCGCTGGTTCAAGGAAAAACAAATTGTTGTTGATAAGATAATCTCGAGTATACTTGTATAAAACGCATAGCGCTGGGTTATAGGAAATAAATAAACCGAAGAAAAATATTGAATATACAATGTAGTATGTAAACTGCATCTTTTCTTAAGATAATGTAATAATAATTGAAACACTTTGAAATTTTTTTTTTTTATTTGAAAAAACTTGGAAACAAAAATGCTTTTACATTTTATATTGAATAAAGTCTTGACATTATTCTTAGACAATATTGGAAATGTGTATGAAGGTATTATCTTATAATGAATGAGTATGGTAGTATTTTTAACCATAATGCATATGAACATTTCTATTTGTATAATTTTTAATAAATTTTTAATGCTTTATAAGCATAAACAAATAAAATTAAAAATAAATATAAATGTTACCTTTATTTATAAAAGGCATAAAAGTAAAAATGATCGACAACTCTCATTGTATGGAAAATACACTTACCACGATTGTAACGTAGTGCATGATATTCTTCGGAAAAAAAACAATTAGAATCTTATATCCAGAAACTTTTTCACATCAGAATTAAATCCAATCTTGTTCCGAGTCCATTACGTAATTTTCCGCTCTCTATATTCACATGCCATTATTAGCGATCCATACCATATTTGAAATAATACTATTTATAATGATTCTATTTATTTTTTTGTTCATTAGGCGACTAATATCATATTTTCGATAGTTCTATTTTAAGTAATCGAAGAAACACTCACGTGACAAAAAAAATAATTGATTTTTAGAATTTTAAATAATTTGCAAAATAGAATTAATAGTTCCAAGGAATTAAACTGATTAATATAATGTATGTTATTTCACTAAAGGAATTGTGTGATTGAAAGTTATAAAATTTAACATTAATAAACAAATTTCTCATGATAGAAATTATAATTTGCTAGAATATATAATTATTATTTTATTTTTTGGGTTGTAAAAAACCATTTCTTATAATAAATACTTTATCATAAAATTTCCTAGTATTGGATCCAGAGAACCCATCATTAAATTAGCAACCGCTAATAAATAATAATAAAATAATGCTAAGCTGAATTTTGGGCTTGTAACTCGACAGCCTTTTCAGAGACGAAAATGTGAGAATTTACGCATAATATGTGACTGTCTCACGCTAATTGGTTGATAATTTGCAAAAAAAATATATTATTTAAGTCTTGTTTCAAAAAAGATAAAGAATTTAATAACCAAGATTTAATTAAAAGGTACCCCATGTTGCCGCTATGCAAATCTGATTATTTAATTTTTTTTATATAAAGAATAATCATAAAGCTGAATTATCATGATTAAGTTCTCCATTAACTAAAAACCTTCACAAGGTCGAAAGTCTAGTATCTGATCTTTAAGAGATCGTGACGATCGGATTCTGTCAATTCTAACTTTTCTGACATTTTTGATCGAAATGTTTGATCGCGACGAATGGGACCATTTCCGCATTTATCCGAATTACGCAGCTTGATCATTTTATAGCGAATATAATAATTAAATAATAATTATGGTATACTGTGATATTTAAGATAAAATTAATATAAAAGGAAGTATTATATATTTAATAATTATAATAACATATATATAACATACATGTTTGATATATTTTCTTTTTTTCCTCCAACAAGTTTTTATTTTTATTTATTTTTAAAAAAAAATTATTATAATTAGTTCTCCGTAAGGGTCGGGTCGGGTCGGGTTTGAAGCATATTCGAGCTCGAACTCGTTAATATTACAGAACCCGAGATTCGACTCGAACCGATCATTGTTCGACTCGGATTCGACTCGACCCGATTAATGTTCAACCCGGGACAACCCGGGAACGACTTGAATTTCAAGGATAATATTAACTCCGAAATAAAAAAACGTCGTATATAGTTTATTTTACAGTATTTTAAAATTGTTTATTTTTGTTGACATTAAATTTCTATTTTTTTTTTTTTTTTACATTTTTTTTCCATGGATTTTTATCAGGGTGATGACGTTCTAAGTGACGCCAAAGATTTGTTGTATTTGAATCACAAATTTTGCGAAGCCATGTTTTATGATTTCTAAAATATTTTTAAATAAAAAAGATATAAAAAACCTACATAATATACTGATTTCTTTTTAAAAAATGTAAAAGAATACATACGAGCAATTAAGACAACGAACTTCGCGATATGTACTTGAAAACTTATGTTCCGGCGGAAGAACTTTCTTTTCAAAAAGTTCTTTGACAAAAAGTTCACTCCGCAATCGTTTTTTAGAACTTTCGGTAATAATGTTATTTGTTAAAAAGGATATTGGCAAAAGAGTTTACAACTGAATTTTCCTGGTCAGATTTTGTTGTAAACTTTCTATATGCTCTTCTAATTTCAGGACTTCTGTCTGTTTGTTTAATAGTTTTTGAAGCTCTTCTTCGGCTAAATTGTTCATAAGAATGGTCTGGTAAGCTTCCACTTTTGCACTAAATTTATCTCGCTGGAAATTTCGTTACTTTGCACGATTTGCTTTTGATTTTCTAAAATTAAGTCAACTAACGAGAGAAAAATGGCCCGCTTTGTTTTTGTTTCAGTAATTAACTGAGCCAGCTTTGTGCTTTCATTTCTTACTTGCGGTGCTAATTCTTGGACTTTAAGACGGATAATTTCCTGTTCGAGTTTAGTGAAATTTTACGGACTATTAGGAAAGGTTATATTGGACAATTGTTGAAGTTGGTTTAACGGACTTTGTTGATCATTGATAGTTTGCTGTTTCTGGCTTTGCAAATCTTGAACTTCTTGTTGGACACTAGCTAACTGTTGCTTTGGCTCTTTAATTCTTTGGGAATTATCAATATTTTTTTTTCTTTCTTGCTCTAGTTAAGTTAGAAATCTGTAATTTTCTTGGTAACATTTTAGGATAATTTTTGATCGAGGCACATGTAGTTTCACAAAGTTAGGCGTGTCAGACAAAAAAGATAAATTTTCAATGCCGGTACCATAGAGGTTCATCCAAGTAATTCGGTCGTGTGAGCAAGTTTTAAATTTGTCAATCGAGAGTTGATTCCAATGTCTACACAGATTAAATTAGGATATGCTGATAAATCTAAATGTCCTTCTAAATTCTTGAACTTAAATATTTTAATATTTAGAGAGATTTATTAAGGAGTTGAAAATTAAAACCGCATTTATTACTAAATTTGTTTATTTATTTTGTGGCTGAATTGCATAGTGCCAGTAATTATCCCGATTTAGCAATATTCAATGGCGACAAATACATTTTTTTTTTTTTAAAAAAAAAAATGGTTAATAATACCTAATACTGCAGTATTCAAAAATTGTTATTGTATTGGTGAGGTAAAATATCGGTCACCCCGAAGGGTTATCGCGTCAGTCACACAAGATCTTGCTTTTAATTAATTTTGTAACTTTACCCCAAATGCTCATTTCGGACATCAACGCATTTGTGATACAACAGTAATAAGTGATTGATTGTGTAATCAGTCCAATTAAACTTTAAAGTTCATCTATCTATATTATAAAAAAAAATCCATGTCGATCGGTAACTATAAAAAGGTTTTGAATTTTGTGACCTCGTGAGTTTACATTTCAATCCGTTTACCATTTTAGGATGAATTTACTATTTTGGTATGGTGATAATCTGATCATTGAAATTTTGGTTATTATTTGTACTACACTAGCTTTTTCCCTTCGTAATGAGACCACGAACGAAAGATTTTTAAATAACAAATAATTTTTTTTCACACTTTTCAACAAAAGAATAGTAAATTTATCTTCATTGTTAAAATTAAAATAATTAATTAATTTATTACTTTTAACTAAAATTAGTTGTTGCAAATAATTATTTAATTAACAACGAGTTATATATCTTATCGTTATAAATACAAATTTACTACTGAAATTGAATCACAGATTTGTTATTAAAAGTGATTAGTAAAGAAGCAGTAAGAATTAGAAAGAGTAAATGAAAGGTATCGAAGATAGAACGATGATTCGTAACGTGAGAACGGAAGAATCTTTTTTCTCTTTCATATTTTCGCACCTATTTAATCCGTACTTTGTAGAAATAACAACTTTGAAAATAAATTTATTAAACATTGCAAATGTGAGTCTTTAGATCAATGAATTTAAAAAATGCGAAAATTAAAATCATGCATTGTTTTACGAGGCTTTATTATAATTCTCTTCATATTCTACATTGCAACAGTTTCGCAGTACAAATAATTGACGAAAACGATGTCGCAGTATTTAATGACGAAAATATTTTTTTGTCAAGACTACAAATTGATAGTCCGTGTAACTCGAGTCAAATTACCAATCTCAAATTATATTAATGGAATGGGACGATCAAATTAGAATACCTACTTTGACAAAAATATAAATGGATTCTTTTAAAACGTCGCACTTATGTAATTATTTCGTTTTATTTTATTATTAATTGTTTTTTGTTAATTAGATATTAATCATTTTCACTTTCTATTTCTTTTGAGACAAAAGACTTTGTGAGGTTTAGGCCTTATATATCACAAGAAAAACGCTCACGTATACACATCCTTTATAAAGAGAGTTATTCGACTAGAACAATTGCTAAAATGGAAAAATTAGCCAATCATCAGCTCTATGAAGATATAGAAAGAAGGAAACAACTTAATGAAAAACCCAAATCTGGTCATCTGCGTATCATTTATGGACATTATGAAAGGAGAATTGTCTAAATGATTTCATCTGGAAAATGCTAAACACTTAAATCTAGCGATCAAATAAGTATTTCGGTTGATACCATATGTCGAATATTGAGGGATAATGGACTATTTGCACGAGTAAAGTAAAAGTAACTCTTGGTTATAAAAGCAATAAAATTTATCAACCCTAAATACACCGTCATTTGACCATAGAATTGTTTCAGGGTCAGTACTTGATTATCATCTCAATTTCCTGATTGAATCCTATTGAACGAAGTTGATAGACGTCTGCATAACCTTAAAAATCCATCTTCAAAGTAAAAATTATTTGTGAGAGAATTTAAAATTGCGTGGGATAGTATAGGGGTTGATTATTGTAATCAACTAATTGATTCTATGAATGAAGAATAAATGATGCAATAAAGGCACAGGGCAGATGTTAGTGTCAAGTTATACAGCTTTAAAATTTTCTCATATTGAATAATTTAATACGAGTAAAAATTTGGAATGCCAATCGAAATAAACTTTTAGTAATTTTTTTGAACTTGTGTAGCTAGGGTTTTCCGTTTGAAAATAGAATATTCGAATATTTTGTTTTTAAATAAATCATTTCGTCGATCGATTGTTTATTTTTTTTTTTTAATTTAAACAATAAAATAATATGAAAAAAAAAAAGAAATAAAATAAATTAAAATAAAATAAAAAAAATTTAAAAATATCGAAAAAAAGCAAAAAAAAAGCGAAAAAAAAAAAATATTAAGATAGAAACCGATTACGCAGATCAGTAATTTTTGGGTAGATACGATTGGGTATCTATCTAAAATCATTTCAATATTCGTTTGAAATTTATTTCAAATATTTGAAATGCAATTTGAATTTCAAACGAAAAACCTATGCGTAGCATTTTGTTCACTCTTCACTCGTAATATACAATATCTAACAACCTATCCCTCTCCACGTTTTTTCACAATTCTAGGTCTACCAGTCTTTGGTAAGTCTTTCACATTTTTAGTTTTTTTATATTTCTTATAAAGTCATGTGATAGTGTTTCGCATAAATTTACATTTTGACTCGCATAATTGTAAATTTTCGTTTAAAGTAAAAATTATAAAAAAAATGAGGCTAATTCTAATAAAAGTCTGTTTTGGACTTTTCTGAATTTAAATTTAAATTTATAATTAGTTACTCACTTAAATTATTACGAAATCATACATTTACTCTGAATTAGAATTTTAGTAATTTAAATTAAAATGTTAGGATGTACTAAGTTTAATAAATAAAATAAAAGAAAAAAAAAACTGAAAATTAATACAGGACTATTTGGATGGCGGTATTGGAGTCAAGAGAGATCCTACCTTATTATTAAATTATTTCTAAAACTAGATTAAAAACTAGATTAGGTTGGTGTGCGGCGACTTTGTCGCCGCTATGTATGGTTATTGTACTGCTAGTTGTCTTAACATTTAGTTAAAAATCGTGCGGTAGTAGTTATTTCTCATTTCTCTACTATCTTCAATTGATCAGAACTTTCTGTACGACACGAACTAAAATTATTATGTCGAAATCAATAAGCGAGACGGAACCAATCAAACAATTCTAAAATTCGCATCTTTTTTAAAAAAAAAAGGAGAACGTGTGTAGAAAAAATGATAAAAATAAAGTAACTGGTTAATATAATGAATCAGATTTTGAGGCGACGGAATAAGATACAACCCGAACAAAACCGGATATAATAAATCTGGAGAATTCGGGAATATAGTTAGCAACTTAGTATAATTATATTTGATAAATATAAGTTTAGAAAAGTAATCAATCAATCAGGAAACGTTACAGAACTTTAAAATTTTATTCCTTAAATTTCTTTAATATGACTAAAATTATTTTTTATATTAACATACCAATAAAAAATATTCTTACAGCATGATTATACTGAAGGAACCAGTATGATAATTCCAGTTGAACCGAGAGAACCGGTGTTAGACCTGGAATCGTCTCAAACCAAGCTAACAAAACTAATAAACTTAATAACACAATTATCTCAAAAGCCTTTCCTAAGAGAAATTAACGATTAATAAACAAAACAATTTATTATCACGATTCACTTGTGTAGAAGGTTATCACGATCAATCCTATGATGAAGACAAGAAGAAGGTTGAAAGTGTAAAATAGTAACTTTATTAACTTGTAGAGTTATAAAATAAGTCTAGTCCTAAGACTTATTCAGAAAACTATCTGATCGAACTGTGTCGACTCAAGGTCAATTTACAGGTCTATTTATATAAAATCGTTAACTAGTACTATACTACGCTTTTTGATAAGTAAAATAATACATATAATGAAAACTAGAGAATATAATATAAGTAATAAAAAGTAGACTATATAATATTTATATTAGAAAGTAAATTAAACGATACATGTATTACAGGTTTAACGTGTATAATTTTCATGATATTCGGCGCAGTTGTAGATCATCTAAGGCGCAGTATAATTTGCGACTAACATCGGTTAATAATTAAAATTTTGTTTTTGCAATATGAGACCTTTGCAATAGAAAAGGGGGAAACGGCTGGAAAAAATAAAAATTGAATTAATGCTAAATCTGAACATTATTTTGACCTAAAATCATATTTGGCATATTGATTTTGTTTCGGCTGTTTCCCCCTTTCTATTGCAAAGGTCCCATATTATCAATCATTAAATTAAAAAAAATCAAAATTAGAAATGTTATTTATAATAAAATAAACAATAGAGACAATAATAAAAAGAACGATCCTGACTGTGCCGCCGTGACGAGCTGAAGGATCCGTCCGAAGTACCGCGTGGTATCATTCCTAACCCACAAAATCAAAAAAACGTGATTATTAATCAAAAATAAGTGAACTATAAAAAACGTCACTCCTCCTCAGTGATAGATAACCGGATGAAATCTATCGACGATTTTTAATTCGCTCAAATTAAATTTAATTTGTTTTATTATATTTTTTCCCGAGAACTTTTTTTTTAATTTTTGTTTTTAAATTTTTTTTTACAAGTTTGCTAATTACCACCGCAGGTAAATCACCGGCGGCTGAGTAACGTAATATCAGTGGCTGAGTCACATGATATTTAGAATTTTAGATTGAATTTAATATTTCAAACTTAAATTTTATTTACGCAAATTATTTATATAATGTAATGTGCTAATACAAATAATAAGATTGCATTAATTACATGCCAATACGCCGATATCTTTCTAATTTAAGTATTAATTTCGCTGTTCTCTTATCAGCACAACCACGAATATTATTTCCTATACCCACACTTTTTAGA